AAAAAAAAAAAAAAAAAAGTTTATGTCATGGAATGGTATGATGAATATAGCTGAGGGTGGTATGATGAATATAGTTGAAAAGACAGCGCTGAGGCAGGGGATGTAGCTCGGGGTTGAGCGCGTGCCTAGCATGGGTGAGGCGCTGGGTCTGCTTCCAGGGCCACCAAAACGGTGCTGGTGGTGATGAAGAAATGGCCTCACCCCAAAGAAGAGAACGGAGTTTACTGGCTGACTAGAAAAGGCAAACATCGCCCTGCTGAGAATGAGTGGGTAAGAGTGCCAGGCCTTGTTGATTTTGTTTGCAACTTAACGTGAGGCCTGCGCCTCTTCATGAGACGCAGTGACTTTCCTGATACCTGGCTTTCCAAGTCAAAGGACTGGAGCTGGCCCCTGCATAAAACCAACCTTTCCTGTCAACCCAAAACAACATAGTCCTAATGTCACAGCCGCAACCTCTGGTTTAAGCCAATGCAGAAAACTCTAAGACTGGTTTGACTCTATTTTCCTCTTTGTGTTTACTTCCCGCTGTGGGCTTGGGTTATGCCACGCGGCCATCATCTTCCCCACAATCACGCTCAAAATGCGAAGGGGTCTTAGGTCACTCCTTAGCCTTTCATTTCCTGGAGATATGTGCATACACATTACATGTAATATATAAATAAGTAAATATACACATGCACCCTTTACATATTAAGATGCTTATCATGTCTCTGTAAAGTCTTCTCTTTCCTAACTGTATCCTCAGAACTGCTCAGATCTGGGACACAAGACACTTTCTGAGGTACAGGCATCATGACCAGCGCTTTATTTACATCTTCAGAGCTCAGGATTTTTTAAGGATATTTCAGAAAACGTAAACTTACTGAAAAGAGAATAGCCTTGATGAGATTAAGAAAATAAGAAGAGTGACTTAGCCTTTGGGGACCTCTTCCTGCTGTGTGTACTATTTATTTACACTTCTTGAGTTTTTCCTGGAAAACACAGCAGAGGTTAGGTGAGTTACCGCGAGATCTAAAAGTTCCTCGCACACTGGGACAGTAAGTTCAGATAGAATAAGGCCCGGAATTAGCATAGGTCTTAAGGTCCCAGAATGAGAGTATTTTACCTTGCATAAAAGAAACAGCCACCTCCCCACAACTTAGGGATTCTGTCCACAGTATTTTCTTTTTCTTTTTTTCGGTACTGGGGACTCACATAGGTTTTCGCACTGAGCTACATTATCTCACAAATTTGTGTTGCAGCGATGGTGGCAACAGCGCTGGGAAGATGTAGTGCTACTAAAACAATGCAATTCTCTTGCCTTTGAATATCGGTCGTTCTTTTAGATGACAATTAAAGATTGGGAATAAATTTCTTTTTTTTTTAATTTCCGAATTTAGTTCAACTTATAATACCACATTTCCAAGAAAAATGAATCTTTTAAATTAAAGAAATGTAAATAAAATCATACTAAGATACACAAAAATGAAATTGTCCAAAACTTATTGTAAAGAAAAAAATTATTAAAGCATATACATAAAAATATTAGCTATGGAAAAACAAAATTAAACAGCATCTTATTCCACATTAGAAAGAAAAAAAAGGACCAAGTGTGTAAGAAACTAGATTAATTAAAGGACTGAAAGAAAAGATCTGTCCTCTTTGAATTTTATACTTAGCAAACATACCTTTGAAAACTAAAAGTAAGATTTTCTAGTTATACAAACTTGAAATATTTT